CCCCACTTTTGTCAAACCCCTTGAATTACAGCTGAAAGTCCTGACTTCACTCCCATCTGGGCGCGTTTCCTTTCAACTTCAGTGTGGTGGTGTACAGAGGCCAAATGCCAAAACAGTTATCCTTGTTCCAACATTTCTGGTCCTGACTGTATACAGTAGCTTGCCCTGCCACCATTGGTGGGGGTGTGGTTTTCTAGTTCCTTGATTAGAGTATCATTCTCTGCATGATTGTCTGGTGTTAATCCCTGCTTATCTGGTTGTTGGTTGCTAGTGAGGATGTGTTCTGGGTTTTTTTTTTTCCTTCCTAGCATTTTTTGTCTTTTTTGAATGGTGTGTAAATGTGGTTTATCCCTATGGGGTTCATCTCTATCTCTTTATCTCTAGGTTATCTCTGTATAGCTCTAGTGGTCTCCTGAATCTGTATCAGTCTGGGAATCAACTTTCACATAACGCCAGATAGTACTGTTATCTGTGAATCTTACCCTGGGGTGATCTGTCGAAACAAATCTATGTTAGTGATTACAGATTAAAAATTCTAATTAAACCCAACCAAACATTGGCTAGCAGTTGTATAAATGGAACCTAATCATGGTCTTGTTTTTACAGGGATTAAGAAAGATCCAGATCGCATAGATTTCTCATCACAAAATGTTGCTATGCTTAAAATACCCAGAATGAGAAATCCTTGCCAATTTTCTGCAAAGTACTAAGCATTCTAATTTCTCCCCCCTCCCGCCTACCCTCAGTTATCCAGATGTTGCTGAACTACAGCACCCAGCATTCCTTACCATTCACCAGGCTAGTTGGGGCTGCTGGGAGTTGTAGTTCAGCAATATCTAAGGACCACTGTTTCTCTGCTTCCATCTCCAGGCTGGAATCCTGGAGTCCTACTGTCAATCCTACTGTCCTTTGCTGCCTCGTTACTGTGGGAACTGATGTTTGCACATATCTGGAAGCAGCAGAACAGGGACAGATTTGTGTTTGCTCTGACTCATTGAGGAATTCTTGATTGATTTCCAAAGAGCCCCAAGGTTCCCCAAAACAATATTTGTAATCCAGTTACTGTAGAGTGAGAATGGCTGAATGAGTCTCTTGGAATAGGCTTGGGGTTTCTTTTTACATTCGTAACAAACAAGTGGGGACCTGCAATTAAACTGGTTAGCATTAGAACTTTGCTTTCTTCCAAAATAGTTCATTCCGTTCTTGCCATTGAACATTTTCAGTCTGTGTTTAAGCATTTTGGGGTACTCTATCTTCCTTTGTTGGGAGTTTTTCAGCTGATCTTTTTTAGAGTTCTACAGTTTGTAGGGTTTCTGCAAACCTGCAACATCCTTAGTCTTATGCAGGAATCAGCAAGTAATATCCACGGAGGCCAACTTACTTGCAGGACTCCCAGTTAGCATCAGTAGAACCCTAAAATGAAGCAAAAGCAAATTAATTTATTTTTTAAAATTGCCAAAGCCTTGCCACATCAATAGATCTGGATTTCAGTCCTCTTTTGTGAGATTGTGTGACGTTTCAGATGAAGACGTTGACAATTTACATTGACCATCCCACTTGTGAGATACCAAGTGTGAGACTGCTGAAATTTAAGTGAGCCTGTTTTTTTTTTTGCACCTGACACTTGAAAAAGCTGCCTTACCTCTCTTCTAAGGATAGGCTCTTGGAGAATTTGAATTGCTCTCTGCATATGTTATGCATCAGATTTCTCCCAGCCAATATTAGTACTAGAAGCTTTGCAAATGGTGCTTCAAGAACACCACAGTTTGATTACGTTTACAGCAAGAACTAGAAAAGCCATTAAGAAAAAAATCTAGTGCTTGCTGGGTCCAAAACGGAAACCTCCCATGAGGAGCGGTTGCTACCTGGCCATTGTTACGTATTGTAATGGACCTATCTGGTTTCAGCCTCTCTGCTTCTCACCTTGCCAGTTCAAGCCTTCCTCATATAACTGTAAGCAGCATAAGTGAGTGCTTAATGTTGACATTTGAGTGCATGTGGTGTACACAGCTGTAACTTTGTTGATCTGAACTGAGAGTAGAAATGTCAGTGTTAAACACCCTATCGGATAATATGAGTTTTCTGCACAGCAAATTGGAGCGTGAATATTCAGAAGCAAGGTAGCTCCTAATGCCCAAATGGGGGACGGCTACCTCCTTTGGTGCTTTTGGTGAACGTCTCAGAGCAGCAGGGAGCGGTTATTGAAAACACAAGGAAAGGCTAGAGTTGGGCTGGCCAGTCCACAGGAGGTGTGCAGTTGCAGCACCCCACTTCTGTTGTTGCACCAGCACTTTGGAACACCCTCTCCCTGAAATTCGATCAGCCCCCACCATATTCGTCTTTAGGAAGTGATTAAGAAACAAAACTAAGAGAGCCTTTCATTCTTAATATCGCCATCTATTATGTTTGTATTAGTTACCTGTTGGTTTCTATGGGTTTTATTTTGATAGTTTATATATATAAACATATTTAATCCGCTGCAATCATTACAACTATAATGCTAATAAAAGACCTGCAATACAATTATATAAAACATTCCTCTCTCACCCCTATGGGTGGTATGGTCTTCTTCAAACTGGGGTCCTGCACAGTATCTTCACTGTTCCTAGCCCTGCACTCTTCTGGACAGAGAGCTCTGATGTTGTTCCTGGGCTCTGTTGGAGCCCCTCTCCCAGCTTAGGAGTCACGGCCCCA